GATATATAGAACACACTGCCTGAGAGGGTGATGGAGGCAGGTACTCTTGCAACACCTAAGAAGCATCTGGGTGAGCACTTAAATGCCAGGGCATAGGCTATGGACCAAGTGCGGGTAAATGGGATTCATATCGTTTTGATATTTCTGGGCAGGGTACCTGTGGGTGGAGGCAGTGGCGTACTGGCATTCGTGCTACAGCAGCATGTGAGGACTTGAATGTTTTGCAGACTGAGGGATGAACTTTGTGGCTGTTTTTCTGGTGGCAAGGACTCATGGCAGAGTCGGGGGAGTGATCTGTTCATTACCTTTTATTTTGGTTGTTCCTTTTATTTCTGCTTCTGTTTTAATCCTGTCTTTTGTACACTAAGATGGCAGTGGAGAATGATGACTTTGTACACTTTTCGCTGTACTCCTGTATTCTTGTATTTGAGTACCGCGTGACCATAAAATCTAAATCTGAAAGGCTTATTTCTACCTAATGACTCTATGACAATGAACTTTAAATGTTTGTGCCACAGAGCAGTTTAGGCAAAGATAATTCAATCTCTTATTGGAAAAGAAAACCAGCATCTGAAACAGAGCAAGATACAAGACTTTGGGGAGGGTAATTAATTTAGCATTGCTGTACTAAAGACCGAGCACAGATAGAATGGGGCGAATTGCTGCCTGCTGTAGCATCATGTTTGTCTTGCAGTCATGCCTTAATGCGTGACAGCATTATGTAATGAATAGTTTGGCCAACTATATTTTTTATGCCAGATAAGTAACCTAGTTCAGACCACACTGCTCAGTTTATCAGCTATAAATATTACATTCTAACTTACGCAATTTTACTATTTCATAAATTGTAGCATGGTGGCTCAGTGGTTAGCATCCCTGCTTCGCAGCGCCAGGGACCTGGGTTCAATTCCAGCCTTTGGCGACTGCCTATCTGGAGTTTGCACATTCTCCCCGTGTCTGTATGGGTTTCCTTACACAGTCCAAAGATGTGCAGATGATGTGGATTGGCCATGTTAAATTGCCCATAGTGTCAAACGATGCATAGGTTAGGTAGATTAGCTATGGGAAATGCAGGGTTACAGTAGGTGGATGAGTCTGGGTGGAATGCTGTTTGGAGAATCAGTGTGGACTTGTTGGGCCAAATGGCCTGTTTCCACACTGTAGAGATTCTATGATTCTATGATATTGGGATTCTCAACATCAGATTTGTATTACTGTACAATTAACCTCAATTAATTATTCTTCTTTATCTAGAGAACTAGATACACCTCAGGTTAAATTTTTATATAAATAATTTTATTAGCACCATATTTAATTGAATCAACCATCAATCTAGTTGTGACTTGATGTCATTGCTTTTAACATTGACTGATGTTATCACTAAATCTAATGGGAGATGTCCACGTGGTAGTCTTTCACATTTTTAATGCTGAGAGATTGAACATTACAGACACCCAGGCAAGATACTGTAAAGATTGTGTCTTTTTATTTTATTTCATTTTTAATCATGGACTGAATTCAGTGAAAGATTTTTACAAAAAAAACTGTGGAACAAGTTGCTGTATTTTTAAAAAAAAAGCAAGTTACTGAAACTCATTGTAATGTGTTTTACATTGTTGCTTTGCAAGCAGTGGGGCAAGATGTAAATAGGCAGCACAGCACTGAAGCATATATACAAAGTGAAATGTTCTCGACCACAGGTTGATTGTTTTGTGGAATTGTGACCAGTGTGGAAGTCGAAAGTCATCAGCTTGACAGCAGCTATCCGATTCCTGGATAACTGAACAGGGTGTGAACAATGTAACGAGAAGCTTTAGGACCTCTGAAAGGGAAGTAGTGTCCCCTTCTCTCTCCAGTGAAAATACACATAACTAAATGAAGCAAGTTGTTTTCTCCAATCAGTTGCTGTAAGCTGTTGCCATCAGCCAATCAGTCAAGAGTTTTAATAATTTGTGAACCGTTCAGTCTGCCTCCTTTTGAGAAGTGAAAGAACTTGAAGGAAAAGATCCAAGAACTGAACGACTTGGGAAACAAAAGGAGCACCCTAGGAAATCCTGAGGGCCAGTGCGATTGAACTGTTTCTGCAATATTTTCACTTCCCTGCACCCTTAACACCAATGTTTATCTGTCTGTGTCTGTTTCTGTCTGTATGTATGTCTGCGGGAGGTTGGAGATGGGGGGGTGGGGTACTTAGTAACTAGTCGATCTATATGTTGACATTTCATGGAGATAGCAAGAACTGCAGATGCTGGAGTCAAAGGCAATAGTGTGGAGCTGGAGGAATACAGCAGGTCAGGCAGCATCAGAGAAGCAAGAAAGTTGACGTTTGGGGTTTACACCCTTCATCTGGTCTGGGGAGGGGGAAAGGGAGCTTGGGAATGAATAGATGGGGGCTGGGGAAGGTAGGTGGGATGGTGATAGGTGGATGCAGGTAGAGGGTTGTGGAGATAGGTCATGGAAAGGATGGCGTGGATAAGTGAGAAAGAAGGTGGACAGGTTGTGTCAGGTCAAGGAGGCGGGGATGAGAGGAAGATTTGGTCACGGGATGAGGCTGGGGATGGGGAGCTTTTGAATACAGTGAATTCTATGTTGAGGCAATCGGTCTGTAAGCTCCCGTGGCAGAATATAAGGTGTTACTCCTCCAGTTTACGTGTGGCGTCATTGTGCCACTGGAGGGGGCCAAGGATGAGCGTGTCACCAAGGGAATGGGAGGGGTAGTTAAAATGGTTGGCAACTGGAGGATGCTGTTGATTATAGCGTACAGAGTGCAGATGGAGTCTGCGCCTGGTCTCGTTGGTGTAGAGGAGACTACATCGGGCGCAGTGGATACAGTAGACCAGGTTGGAGGACATACAGATGAATCCCTGTTGGATTTGGAAAGATTGTTTGTGGACTTGGGTGGAGATGATGGGGGGAGGTGTAAGGGCAGGTGTAGCACCTCCAGCCCTGGCAACATCCTTTCCCTGCAACCACAGGAAGGTTTGAGCTATAGGGAGAGGTTGAATAGGCTGGGACTACTTTCCCTGGAGCACCAGAGGCTGAGGAGTGACCTTGTACAGTTTTGTAAAATCATGTGGGGCATGGATAAGGTGAATAGCCAACGTCTTTGCCCAGGGTGGAGGAGTCCAGAACTAGAGGGCATAGGTTTAAGATGAGAGGAGCAAGATTTAAGAGGGACCTAAGGGAGTGCTTTTTCACACAGAGGGTGGTGTGTGTATGGAATGAGCTGCCAGAGGAAGTGGTTGAGGCTAGTACAGTTACAGCATTTAAAAGGCACCTGGATGGGTATATGAATAGGGCGGGTTTACAGGGATATGGGCCAAATGGGGCTAGATTAATTTAGGGATATCTGGTCGCTATGAATAAGTTGGACCAAAGGGTCTGTTTCCATGCTGTACGGTCTATGACTGTGTATGCTAGGATGTACTGAGTCAGCATTGTCTCTAATACTTAAAGCAATATTTTCATCCATCTCCACTTGCTTTGCAGCATGGAGTAACTGAAATTGTGATCTCCCCACTGGAGGAAAGCAACTTGTTCCAAGTCATAATTTCTTAACTGAACAGCAGTGTTTAGTGACATAATGGGCACTGAATTATGTTGCAATAAATATGTCTATATTGTCATTTTGACCACAAGCAGCTTTGGTCTCAAAATAGACTTGCACTATGCAGTATATGACTGCTACACTTAACTGGAGTATCTATTGATTTAATCCACTTGAATTACTGTATAATAAAGCAAATAAAATATGTTGAGATTGTAAGATTAAATTACCTCAGTTTTTCTAGAATTTGCTTACTTTTCAAACATCAGTGATGTGAAAGGTAATGCGTACATTTGGAAGTGAAAGGTGGCAATCCTTTCAGCTAACGTCTTCTGAGCCTTTTTTGGTCTAATTTGAGGCGCAATAATTCTATGCTGTGAAGGAGTGACGCTGAAGTAATATATCCACGTCATCATAGAAATTGAACAGATTATGCTTTTATATCCTTGGTGGATGGGTTTCTGATCTTTATTCCTCCCACATTGCCCCACTAAGAACAAATGTGGGCTCAGAATCAATCTGTGAGGAGGGTGTGTAGCAACAGGGGAAGTGTTGCAGGGAGAAAGAATCCTAGCTTATTGTCTTGGAGGGGGATTCAGGTTCAAAAGCCTGTATTAAGCAGGTAGTGATGAGTAAACTTTGCAGCATGGTGATGGATCTCTGGACTTCTAAAATACACGTCTTTGAAAAGTCATAAATTGAGTAAAATGTTGGAAATTTACATTAATTGCAGCTTATTTTACCCTGAATGATCCTGGTTCATTGGCACTTTATTTGCTTAATGGGAATGGAAATTAGATTACATACATTAATAAGTAACCTGGGGTCATTTGATGCTCCAATGTTTCCTTTTTGCAAGCCTGTATCCTAATGTTGCGTTTTCCTTTAACAGCATTAAGTGCATCTTTTAATTAAACTGAGTAACGAATATTCAAGTCTTTTTTTTAAGCTGTACTAATCATTGATCGATGTCATTAACATAGTTCAAAACTAGGGGGCATATTTTTAAAGTGAGGAGAAAGTTTTAAAAGGGACCTGAAGAGCAAATTTTTCCACAAAGAGTAGTTTGTATGTGGAATAAACTGCAGAGGAAGTGGTAGATGCAGGTACAGTTACAACATTTAAAAAACATTTGGACAATACACGAATAGGAAAGGTTTAGAGGGATATGGGCCAAACTCAGGCAAGTGGGACTGGTTTAGTTTGGGAAATTTGGTCGGCATGGATGAGTTGGACCAAAGGGTCTGTTTCTGTTCTGTATGACTCGATGCCTATACAGAATATAAATCAGGTTGAATACCATCCTTTGGACTTCCTACCGTTGACCTTGTAAAGGCTGCTCTTAGTAAGTGAGATGTTCAAGTGTGCATTCTGTAGAATAAATTCCATTTGTTTGTGTGTGTGTGTGTCTAATTTACTTTTGAGTAATGGGTTTCCTCACCATTTTATTCAGGATATTCAGCTCTCAGCAGAGGTAGAACCATTTATACCCCAGAAGAAGGAAACTGATATACTTGTTCCTATGGCTCTCCCTAATGATGGAAATGGTAATGGTGTCGAAGCTCCTCCTATACCTAGCTACTTGATAACTTGTTATCCCTTTGTGCAAGAAAATCAATCCAATAGGTGAGTAGAGGTACACAAATCAGTTGATACCTATGTATAAATTTTATTCAGACCTGTTAATTATATGGTGAAGTTTTAGTTTTTTTTTTAAGCATCACACCTAGTTTGGTTAACTATGGAACATCATTTGGTAAACCTTGTTACAAATCTGGATAACGTTGAAATGAATTGGTTTCAGTAAGAGACTCATGAACACAGGTGTCGTAGATTCATGCAAATACATAATCTATGTATAAAGTCACATTTGGATTGGAAATCATTTTTCTGAACTGATCCCCCTGAAAAGTAAAATAGCACAACAAATTTTGGAAAAGATCTGTCCCAGCCTTTTTTCCTGTTAAGGTAGGGGGGGAAAAAAGGTAAGGGCAATGATGAATATCAGTTAGAAGCTGAGACCGGTTTTCAGATGTAGGACTTTCTAAATCCTCAATCTTTACAGCTGCTAACGTTTCAAAAGCAGGATGGTCCAAGGATTCCAGTGGGATAGTTTGTTGGAACATACCAATGTCTTATGACAGGCTTACTAGTAGACCTTGAAATAACCAATATTAGTTACCGTTTCTTAGTGGTTACAGTAGAGTCAACAATTTTCATCCTGAATTCAAACAAAAATTGACAAGTCTTCTAACACAGCAAAATATCTCCAGACCTCAAAATGATGTGAAAACAGCTGAGTTTTGGATTTGATCAAATGAACAATGTTCTTGAGGCATTCTTTCTCTGCTGGAAAATGGGTCAGTATAAGTTTGTGGGACAGTGATTTGAAACATTTGAGCCCTAAGATCTGGCCTAATGTTGAATTTCCTAGATACGATTAAGTTGCATTTTTAAGGATCTTGAGTAGATTTGTAGCTTGGTTTGTGGATGCTGTGGTTGGTTTGTTCACTGAGCTGGTTCGTTTGTTCGTAGACGTTTCATTACCCTGCTGGGTAACATCAGTGCAGCTTCCGATGTTCTGTTTTTCTGCGTAGTATTTAAAATCTGGGGTCCGTTGGATTTGATTACCTCATTTCCAGCTTTTCTTTGCAGTGGTGTATATTTAGAATCTAGTTCTACGTGTTTATTGATGGTCATCTTGGTGGAGAACCAAGCCTCTAGAAATTCCCGTGCTTGTCTCTGTTTGGCCTGTCCTAGGATCCTGATGTTGTCCCAATTGAACTGGTAGTTCTCCTTACCTGTGTGAATGGATTTGAGTCCGTTCACACGAATATGGAAAACCACCAGTTCGATTGGGACAACAGCAGGATACTAGAACAGGCCAAACAGAGTCAAGCATGGGAATTTCTAGAGGCTTGGTTCTTCACCAAGAAGGCCATCAGTAAACACGTAGAACTAGACCCTATGTATACACCACTGCAAAGAAAAGCCAGAAATGAGAGAACCAATTCCAACAGACCCCAGAGTTTAAATACCAGGTGGAAAACAGAACGGTGCTTCATCGGAGGCTGCACTGATGATGTTACCCAGCAGGGTAATGAAACGTCTGCGAACAAACGAACCAGCTTGGCGAGTGAACCAACCACAAGTTGCATTTTGTTGGAAAAATCAACTTTTAAATGCTGCACGATAGACTCATTACAGACAAAAAATGTCTCAATGTATTTACTGTGTATTATTTTTAAACCTTAGTTATAGCAATGCTCTTGACTTTTGACTTTGTACATGGAAATATGACACCCTTGTGTTTCTACTAAAACTTATTCAAAGGGACCACTTTATTGTAAATAAGTTTTGATGACATTTCTGAGAAATCATTGGGAAAATGTTAACTTCCAACTTTGGGAGAGATGATGGCCTAGTGATATTACCATAGACAATTAATCCAGAAACTTGGCTAATGTTCTGGGGATCCAAGTTTGAATCCCACCATAGCAGATGCTGGAATTTGAATTTTAAAAAAATTCTGGAATTGTCGATTGTTGGAAAAAACCCATCTGGTTTACTGGCTTTCGGGGAAGGAAACCTGCCGTCCTAACCTGGTCTGGAGTAGCAGCGTCCAGAAGCACATGTAGCTGACTCTTAACTACTCTCTGACTTTCTAGGCCATTACAGTTCATTCAAAGGCAGCTAGCCAGCTGGAGATGAGTAATAAATGCTAGCCAGTCAGTGATACCCACATAGCATGAGCAAACAAAACAAAAGCCATTTTGCCATGCAGCAGCCATAAACCAATGCAAAGCGGCAGCAGTGTGTAGCACATACAAGATGCACTGCAGCAACCCAACCACCATCCTTTGACAACACCGTCCAAACGTGCAACCTGCCGCCTAGTAGGACAATTGCAGCAGGTGGGACCACCACCTAAAAATTCCCCCAACCCTCAGAGTATCCTCGATCTGAATTGTATTCCTGCTGCTTCACTTTAACAAAATTAAAATCTTGGACCTCCCTATCTAATAGCACTGTGGATGTACCTGCATATATGGGACTATAGTGGTCCAACAAAGTGACTTACCACCATTACCTTGAAGTATTAGGAATGAGTGACAAATGCTGTGATGGCCACCTCTCATGAAACAATGAAAACAAACCCGAGAAAGAGAGGCTGGTATCAAATTACACTTAGATTCGCGGTCATCAGCCAGTCCGTGTCTCATGCTGGCTGATCTTTAGTGTTCACGAAATAATTATAGTTCAGCACTGTCAAATACCGTCTGACAGTTGGCATGAAAGAAAATGGTGCTGCCCTGGAAGGGAAACAGGTTTTGGATTACTGATCAGATCATCTATCTTGTGGCAGTTCCTGTAGTACAGGTTAGTACATCAACCCTCTTAGTGATGGAAAAACTGCTGAAAATAGCTGTCCAGTCTAACCAGCACACTGTTTAATGTGATTTGATCCTGGAAGAGTAACAACAGCTTATGGCGCAGTTAGAATAGTAAAGAACTGTTGGAGATGAACAAGGGAGTTGATCAAATGTTTATTGGACATTACCAGCGTAAGCCACAACGTGTTCAATACATGCGGTATGTAGGCCTGGCATACGAAATGCGTTAAGCAATTGACTGTAAGGAGTGGAATGCAAACTTACAGCTGAGCTATTTGTCCTGTTTTTGGGCAAGTGAAAAAAAGAGAGCAAGACAGAAGAGAAAACCATTGCCTGAATGAATATCCATTTCTGCTAATGCTAGGAGATATGATTTGATGCCTGGGTATAATAGCCACATGGTTTTTTAAAAAAAAAACTGCTTGCCTAACAACTCGCTGCAGCAATTCAATGGAGATGGAGTAGTATTTGAAAAATATCTGACTAGATGTGTTGTTGTGAATGTGTATGTTTATAAATGTATTTTAATACATTCATACTATTTTCATGCTTTCCTTTGTATTATATTGCAGGCAATTGCCTGTATATAATGGTGATATTCGGTGGCAGCAAGTGAATCCAAATTCTACAGGACCGTACCTTGCTTATCCCATATTGCCAACACCACAGCCTCCTGTTTCTACAGATTATGCTTACTACCAGCTCATGCCAGCACCTTGCGCACCAATGGTGGGTTTTTATTCTCCCTTTCCTGCACCATACACTGCACCTTTCCAGCCAGCCACTGTGGTGAATGCATTGTCTGACTGCAGTGAAAGACCTGTTACTGCCGGACAAGCCTGCCAAGCTACCACTCAGAGAAGCAGAACCAGCAGAGGTCCAGTGCCGAAGGTAAGGATTTCCAGCTATATTTGCTCTTTATGCCTTTTCAAATTTAATTACCCTTTTTCTCCTTGCTCCAATCGAAAATTACTTTTGATTTTGTTCTGAACCTGTGGGAGTGAAAGCATTTCATTTAGTGTGTTAAAGATGATTTGAAGTAGGTAAAATAAACATCTTTAATTATATATAAATACACTTTCCCCCTCTCCATTCTTCTTGCGCAATATAAATTTAGAAGTGTTGAACACTAGCAAAAGGTATTATGATGTGTTCTCTGATACTTTGCCCAAATAACCATGACTTGTGAATAAGATTAGGTAATGATCAACAGACTCTTAAATTCTATGGGATAGTCCGCAAGTGTCCTAACTTTTTTTAGCTCAAATCACTAAATATCGAGAAGAACTGATTTTTTTTTTTGCTTCTTTTTTTGTTTTCACTACTAACCCGAACTGTTGCTGCCAAATCTAATGTTTCTGATAGTTTGACATTATTGATTTAATATGGTTGTAGTGACCTTATAAATAATGGGCTGGAACTTTGACTCAATCCGTGTAACTGTCATATAAATCTGCTGTTCTTTTTTTTAAAAGGGATGAACAGTTATGACCAACTGTGTTCATTTTTAAAAACATCAAAATTATTCCATTTTTTGTGAAACATAGTCTACGACTCATGCCATTTATTCATCTATCTAGAAGCTTGGTTTAGTAAATTGCTTGTAACTAACTTCTTGTGATGGGTTGATATAAAAGCTATGAATGGCAATGCTGTAATGATATGCAAAGATTTTGGAACAGGAGGACATAAAAGATTGTTAGCAAAACTAAGTGTTTTACATGTTAATTGGGAGGCAATGGCCTAGTGGTATTATCGCTTGACTGTTAAATCCAGAGACCCAGATAATATTCTGGGGACCCAGGTTCGAAACCTGCCACAGCAGATGGTTGAATTTGAATTCAATAAATATCTGGAATTAAGAATCTAATGATGACCGTGAATCCACTGTCGATTGTTGGTAAAACCCATCTGGATCACTAATGTCCTTTAGGGAAGGAAACTGCCAAACTTACCTAGTCCAGCTGACGTGACTGCAGACTCGCAGCAACGTGGTTGACTCTGAACTGCCCTCTGGGCAATTAGGGATGGGCAATAAATGCTGCCTTGCCAGTGATGCCCTCATCCCGTGAATGAATAAAGACGACAAAATGCAAGATGTTACCAGCAAATTTTGCAATATGTTAATGTGGCAGACCCTTAACTGACATAGACATAGACATAGAACATAGAACATTACAGCACAGTACAGGCCCTTTGGCCCTCTGTTGCGCCGACCTGTGAAACCAATCTGAAGCCCATCTAACCTACACTATTCCATGATCATCCATATGTTTATCCAATGACCATTTAAATGCCCTTAAAGTTGGCGAGTCTACTACTGTTGCAGGCAGGGCATTCCATGCCCTTACTACTCTTTGAGTAAAGAACCTACCTCTGACATCTGACCTATATCTATCACCCCTCAATTTAAAGCTATGTCTCCTCATACGAGCCATCACCATCCGAGGAAAAAGGCTCTCACTGTCCACCCTATCTAATCCTCTGATCATCTTGTATGTCTCTATTAAGTCACCTCTTAACCTTCTTCTCTCTAACGAAAACAGTCTCAAGTCCCTCAGCCTTTCCTCATAAGACCTTCCCTCCATACCAGGCAACATCCTGGTAAATCTCCTCTGTACCGTTTCCAATGCTTCCACATCCTTCCTATAATGCGGCAACCAGAACTGTACGCAATACTCCAAGTGCAGCCGCACCAGAGTTTTGTACAACTGCAACATGACCTCATGGCTCCGAAACTCAATCCCTCTACCAATAAAACCTAACACACCGTACGCCTTCTTAACAACCCTATCAACCTGGGTGGCAACTTTCAGTGATCTATGCACATGGACACCGAGATCTCTCTGCTCATCCACACTACCAAGAATCTTACCATTAGCTCAGTACTCTGTATTCCTGTTACTCCTTCCAAAGTGAATCACCTCACACTTTTCCGCATTAAACTCCATTTGCCACCTCTCAGCCCAGCTCTGCAGCTTATCTATGTCCCTCTGTAACCTGCAATATCCTTCTGCACTATCCACAACTCCACCAACTTTGGTGTCATCCACAAATTTACTAACCCATCCTTCTATGCCCTCATCCAGGTCATTTATAAAAATGACAAACAGCAGTGGCCCCAAAACAGATCCTTGCGGTACACCACTAGTAACTGAACTCCAGGATGAGCATTTCCCATCAACCACCACCCTCTGTCGTCTTACAGTTAGCTAATTTCTGATCCAAACCGCTAAATCACCCTCAATCCCATGCCTCCGTATTTTCTGCAATAGCCTACCGTGGGAAACCTTATCAAACGCTTTACTGAAATCCATATACACCACATCAACAGCTTTATCCTCATCCACCTGTTTGGTCACCTTCTCAAAGGACTCAATAAGGTTTGTGAGGCACGACCTACCCTTCACAAAACCGTGTTGACTATCCCTAATCAAATTATTCCTTTCTAGATGATTATAAATCCTATCTCTTATAATCCTTTCCAACACTTTACCCACAACCGAAGTAAGGCTCACTGGTCTATAATTACCAGGGTTATCTCTACTCCCCTTCTTGAACAAGGGGACAACATTTGCTATCCTCCAGTCTTCTGGCACTATTCCTGTAGATAATGATGACATAATGGTCAAAGCCAAAGGCTCTGCAATCTCTTCTCTAGCTTCCCAGAGCATTCTAGGATAAATCCCATCCAGCCCAGGGGACTTATCTATTTTCACGCTTTCCAGAATTGCTAACACCTCCTCCTTATGAACCTCAATCCTGTCTAGTCTAATAGCCTGTATCTCAGTATTCTCCTCGACAACATTGTCTTTTTTCTGTGTGAATACTGACGAAAAAAATATTCATTTAGCGCCTCTCCTATCTCTTCGGACTCCACGCACAACTTCGCCCTACTGTCTGACCCGAATCTTACTCTAGTCATTCTTTTATTCCTGACATACCTATAGAAAGCTTTAGGGTTTTCCTTGATCCTACCTGCTAAAGACTTCTCATGTCCCCTCCTGGCTCTTGTTAGCTCTCTCTTTAGGTCCTTCCTGGCTAACTTGTAACTCTCAAGCGCCCTAACTGAGCCTTCACGCCTCATCTCTACACAAGCCTCCTTCCTCTTGACAAGAGATTCAACTTCTTTAGTAAACCACGGTTCCCTCGCTCAACCACGTCCTCCCTGCCTGACAGGTACATACTTATCAAGGACACACAGTAGCTGTTCCTTGAACAAGCTCCACATTTCAATTGTGCCCAGCCCCTGCAGTTTCCTTCTCCATCCTATGCATTCTAAATCTTGCCTAATCGCCTCATAATTGCCTTTCCCCCAGCTATAACTCTTGCCCTGTGGTATATACCCATCGCTAAAGTAAACGTAACCGAATTGTGGTCACTATCACCAAAGTGCTCACCTACCTCCAAATCTAACACCTGGCCTGGTTCATTACCCAGTACCAAATCCAATGTGGCCTCGCCTCTTGTTGGCCTATCTACATACTGTGTCAGGAAACCCTCCTGCGCACATTGGACAAAAACTGACCCATCTAAAGTACTCAAACTATAGCGTTTCCGGTCAATATTTGGAAAGTTGAAGTCCCCCATAACAACTACCCTGTTATTTTCGCTCCTATCCAGAATCATCTTTGCAATCCTTTCCTCTACATCTCTGGAACTTTTCAGAGGCCTATAGAAGACTCCCAACAGGGTGACCTCTCCTTTCCTGTTTCTAACCTCAGCCCATACTACCTCAGTAGACGAGTCCTCATCAAACGTCCTTTCTGCCACCGTAATACTGTCCTTGACTAACAATGCCACACTTCCCCCTCTTTTACCACCTTCCCTGATCTTACTGAAACATCTAAAACCCGGAACCTGCAACAACCATTCCTGTCCTCTATCCATGTCTCCGAAATGGCCACAACATTGAAGTCCCAGGTACCAACCCATGCTGCAAGTTCACCCACCTTATTCCGGATGCTCCTGGCATTGAAGTAGACACACTTCAAACCACCTTCCTGCCTGCCGGTACACTCCTGCGACCTTGAAACCTTATTCATGACCTCGCTACTCTCAACCTCCTGTACACTGGAGCTACAATTCAGGTTCCCATCCCCCTGCTGAAGTAGTTTAAACCCTCCCGAAGAGCATTAGCAAATTTCCCCCCCAGGATATTGGTACCCCTCTGGTTCAGGTGTAGACCATCCCGTTTGTAGAGGTCCCACCTACCCCAGAATGAGTCCCAATTATCCAGGTATCTGAATCCCTCCCTCCTGCACCATCCCTGTAGCCACGTGTTCAACTGCTCTCTCTCCCTATTCCTCGCCTCGCTAGCACGTGGGACGGTAACAAACCAGAGATAACAACTGTTTGTTCTAGCTCTAAGCTTCCACCCTAGCTCCTTGAATTTCTGCCATACATCCCCATCCCTTTTCCAACCTATGTCGTTGGTGCTTATGTGGACCACGACTTGGGGCTGCTCCCTCTCCCCCTTAAGGATCCTGAAAACACGATCCAAGGCATCACGGACCCTGGCACCTGGGAGGCAACACACCAACCACGAGTCTCTCTCGTTCCCACAGAATCTCCTATCTGTCCCCCTAACTATGGAGTCCCCAATGACTAATGCTCTCCTCCTCTCCCCGCTTCCCTTCTGAGCAACAGGGACAGACTCTGTGCCGGAGACCTGTACCCCATGACTTATACCTGGTAAGTTGTCCCCCCCCATCAGTATCCAAAACAGTATACTTGTTACTGAGAGGAACGTCCACAGGGGATCCCTGCACTGTCTGCCTGTTCCCTTTCTGTCCCCTGACTGTAACCCATCTACCTTTTTCCTGTACCTGAGGTGTGACTACCTCCCTGTAACTCCTCTCAATTACCTCCTCAGCCTCCCGAATGATCCGAAGTTCATCCAGCTCCAGCTCCATTTCCCTAACACGGTTTCCCAGGAGCTGGAGTTGGGTGCACTTCCCGCAGCTGAAGTCAGTGGGGACACTAGTGGTGACCCTTACCTCCCACATTCTACAGGAGGAGCATGCAACTGCCCTAACATCCATTCCCACTGTTCTGAATTCCCAAACAGCCTATTGAAAAAAAAACTAGTAACCTTACCAAATCGGCGCTCAGAACGTTTTTTTTTGGTTAGAGGAGGAGGATGATCTTGTGAATACTTTGTGTTAAACAAAATTCAAACAATTTTCTCTTTCGTTCCTTCTTGAGCTTGCTGTTATATATTTTCTGTAACTTTAGGTACTTGCCAATATCTTCCCAAACACACTTATCATGTGTTAACCTTTAGTGATGAGTTTTGCTGGTCATAGCCATGTCTTAACTTGTCCTCACCTGATGTTGCACTTTGTTCTCCAGCTATTCATATTTAGTCATGGTTTGTATTCCCAGTATAATATTTCACCTTCCTGCAGAGCACCAAAGTCACATGTAGCACCTTGCTGTTAACAGAGAACACCTAACACTGGATTTAGGATCAAGACTAGGGCCTTCCTAATCTCCATGATTGAAGTCCCAAGTGCTACACCTTTCCACCTCACCATCTCCGTTTACCCTTGGAAAATGCTGCTTAAATCCACTGTCTGTTTTGGTCATGGGACCTAATATCTCCTAATGTGTCATTTGTGTCTTAATCCGTCTGTGAAGCACCTTGAGATATTTTGCTATGTGAAACAGGCTGTACAAGTGTCAGTTAGCTTGCCAAGCTGTTGGAGTAGTTAACTATTAATTTACTGTTTCAGACAAATAACAGGAATTTGTGTTTTCTTGAGTTAGGAGTTGTATTTCTTGTATTTTGTGCAGGTTTTGAGAACAAACAAGCCTCTGGTGAGAAATGTAGCTGTTCAAAAGGAAAACAATGCCTCAGGTCCTGAAAATAAATCGAAGATTGTATTGCTGGTGGATGCCAGTCAGCAAACAGGTAAGGAACCTTACAGAAATATTTATTTCCCAGCTTACCAGGGTCAAACTTAACCAAATTAAGAAACTTAATTCTGATATAGTTACCCTAAACGCTAATAATAAAATAACACAGGTAGCTGTCTGAGATTCCTTGAACCAATGCATTGGATCAAAGCTCTGAAGTCTCGAGGTCTTGTGGAAAGTCCTGTCGCATGTAGACATAAATGGTGCCAGGTAATTAAACAGCATTTACTAGCTGGAAACTCCACAAATATTCTACTCTCAATGATTGGAGTGCCCAGAACGAAAGACTGGGCAGAATCATTTACATCCATCTACAGCCAGGAGTGCTGAACGAATGGATCCAGCTCTGCCTCCGCCTGAGATCCCCAGTATCACAGATGACAGTTTTCAGCTAGTTTACTTTAGTCCAGAATATCAAAAAAATGGCTAAAGACAATGGATACTACCTTTTGGGCTCTGACAGCATTCCAATAATCGTACTGAAGATTTCCAGTCCAGAACTAGCCACGCCTGTGTTTCAATACAGCTTGTCCAGTTATGTCCAGTGCAGAAGGAGCAGGACAAATCCAATTACCTCCTTTTATCTACTCTTGATCACCAGCAAAGTGATGGAATAGATTATTGACTGTTTGTCAAATGGCAAGTGCAAAAGTATAGTCTTTTGCTCCTGACTGGGCCAAACATAGACAGAGGAGCTGGACTCAACAGGTCTTGTGAGAGTGACCTCCTTTTATGTCAAGGTAACATTTCCCAAGTATAGTATCATTTGACCCTAGCGAAGCTCAAGTCAGTGGGAACTGGGAAAACTCTCTCCTGGCTGGAGTCATACCTAACACAGGGAGGTGGTTCTGAATGTTGGCCCATCATCTCAGTCCTATGACCTTGCTGTGTGAGTTCCTCAGGGTACTGTTGAATACAAAACCAATTTCGGCTGCTTGTACAGTTACCTTACCTCCATCATGAGAACTGAAATTGTTTGCTGGTGTTACATGTAATACGATACATCAAAAATGAATATGATGATGATACATATGACAAAAGAAACATACAGGATCCTGATATATCTTGATCGGATAGTTGGGAGAATATATTTCTTCATGTGGGAGAATAGAGAACCAGGGTCATTATTTCAAAATCAGGAGCTGCCCATTTAAAAACAGAGAGAAAGCGAATCTTTTTGAGGATAGAGTCTCTTTGGAAGTTGTGTCCTGAAAAGGTGGTTGAATCAGAGTCCTTGAATGTTTTTAGGGCAGAAGTAGACATTTCTGTTCAGCAAAGGTGTGAAAGATTATCAGTCTGTGGGAGGATAGATTTGAATTTGCGGCCAGATCAGCGAACAAGAGACAATCTAACCATCGCTCCTTGACATTCAAGGGTATTATCATTGCTGAATCCCATACGTTCAGTATCCTGGTGACTCCCATTGACCAGGAACTGAACTGGATAAGGCATATAAATACTGTGGCTTCAAGAGAAGGACAGAAGCTAGGAAATCTGCAGCAAGTAATTTGCCCTTTGTCTTCAGTACTTGTCTTCAGTACTTGTCCACTATCTACTAAGTACAACTCAAAAATGTGATGCAGTACTCTCCATTTGCCTAAATGGATGCAACTTGGAGATCACTCAAGAAGCTTGACACCATTCAAAGCAAAGCATCCTGCTTGACTGGCATCCTATTTACCATCTTCAGCAATCACTCCCCTCACCATCAATGCACAGTGCAGCAGTGTGTAGCAGGTACAAGATGTCCTGCAGAAACACACGAAGTCTCCTTTGGCAGCATTTCTCAAGCCTGAGACCTCTACCACCTAGAAGGACAATGACAGCAGATGCACGGGGAGTAATTTTGCCTTCAACGTATACACCATGACGTCTTGGAACTATATTGCTGTTCCCTCACTACTGCTGGGTAAGAATCCTGAAATTCTCCTAAGAACGCTGTTTAGTTTAAGGAAGAGTTCACCTACACCTTCTGCAGGGCAAATAGGGATGGGTAATAAAAGCTGGCATTGCCATTGCCACCTGCATCCCATGAGCAATTTTATTAGAAACAAAGTGACAAATATTTCATTTCTTTATCTTGCTGGTGTGAAAGCACCTTTGTGTTAATAGTAGCAAGCATTTGGCACTTATAAACTTAAAGCTGATAATTTATTGTTACTGTGACTTGAAGCTGACATTCAAATTCAGTTCTATCTTTTGGAGCATGTGATACAAGAACATTTTCTTGTAGCAAACTATGGAAGGAGTGAGATTGGAAAGGGGAATTTAGAGGGATTACAGACTTGTTAACAGTCACATAGTATGTTAGCATCTTTTAGAAGATCAAAGTGGATGTAATTTTCAGGATTCTATGTGCTTTGAGCTTTAGTGCAACGCTGTGCTGTTGGGAATCAAGCTACTGCAGAAGTTCCCAACTCCCATGGAAATGGGGAAAAAAACCTGAGATCCTCACTGCACTGTACTGCTCACATACACATGTAATGGGTTACTGAAATGAGGAATTATATTTTATAATTACAAATGGCTGAAGAATGTTGAATGTGGTTGTGCATTTTTTTAATTTATTCTTCGAAAACTAGCTGTTGATTGATAATCCCAAAACCAGAAGTGGAAAAAGTCACACTCTTTTTTGCCTTTTTAGCTGCTTTAAGCATATCCTATTAGTAAATATATTGCAGTGTGTATGGAAAATACAGTTTTCAGATGCAATACCAAAGCTTCACATTGCTGTCTAAATTTCAAGTCATAAGATTTGTAGTAATATTAAATAGATCAAGTGCTGCTTGCAGTTTTGCACGTCGACTTTCTAGTCATGAAAACTTGATGAATCTGATCTTCAGTTGCTCGAGACAATTGTGAGCCAGTACTTTATTGCTTTGTTCTGGAAAATTCAATAGAAGTGTGTTGACTTTATTGAAGAGACATTTTTGCTGCTTTGTGGCAATGTTATCTTAAAGTATGGCTTTGTTTTGGTAGTCTAAAGTTGGAGCACTAAATGGATGGTGCGAAATCAAAATGTGCAGTTATTTGAAAGATTTGTTATAATCTATATATTCCATTGTAATTATGATTGTCTTTTATCCTTAAAAGATTTTCCTGGGGATGTAGCCAATAAAACACACTCTGAGAGGGCCAGCCCCTTGCTTTGGAAATCAAAAATCAGGAGAAGAAGAGCATCTCACCCTGCTGCTGAATCTTCAAGTGAACAAGGAGCTAGTGAAGCTGACATTGACAGTGATAGTGGCTACTGCAGTCCCAAACACAGCCACAGTCAGACCACATCAGCTGCTACAAGGAGTACAGAATGCAAAGTATGCAAATCTACATAGTTCATGTAACCAAAATAACCTGTGATATTAAAATTTTATGGAAATGATGGTGGATTATGGTTGTCAAGTGTCTGAAGCATTTCCCATACTTCTGCGCAGTATAACCCTTTTCCCCCTCTATCCCAGAGCCATGACAGGGTTCCCACATATTCCACCCCATAGCTTCCATGTTCAAGGTCATTCTTTGCCATTTTTGCCACCTCCGGGATGATGTCACGAACAAACATGTTTTCTTGTCTCCTCACCTGTCAGTGTTCTGAAGGGATTTTTTCCCTAGTCCACATCTGGTATCACCCCTAACACCTTACCAGCATCCCATGTCACCTTCCTGTGCAATTTCAGGAGGAGTAACACTTGCCTTTTTACCTCCTCCCTTCTCATTATCCAAAACCTGAAATATTCCTGCCAAGTGAGGTAGCAATTTACTTGTACATTTCTCTCAATCTAGTCCACTGTATTCACTGCTCACAGTGTGGTCTCCTCTATGGACTGGGTGACCACTTTGTAGAACACTTCTGCTCAGACCGCAGGCTTGGTCCTGACCTCTAGTTGCTTGCTGTTTTAGTACACCATCTTGTCCACGTGGCTTGCAATTCTGTTTTATCAATATTGTTTTCATAGTTTTTCTTTCAGCAAAGCTGACCTATATTCTACTGTTGACATTTGCTCTGGATCTGTGCTTTGTCCCTTCTCTGCAACCAGTACTGCTCACTTTGCCTTTCTATTCCTTTGACACCTGTGATCTCTAATCCCCACCCCTCCCCCCAAACTTTCTATGACCTTTCCTTTCTCTTCAACTTGCTCCTCCCAACCTTTTCAGCAATATAAAATCCATCACTTTTCTACCTGTTTGCAGTTCCAAAGAAGAGTCACATTGGACTTGAAATGTGAACTGTGTTTCTCTTTGCAGAAGCAGCCAGACCTATTGAGTTTCCCCAGCCGTTTCTGTTTTTATTTGAAATTGTTTCTACTTTGTAATATGTCACATAGAAAATGTTTAAAAGGAAAATAATTTTACTGATATAAGCTCTCGGTGGAACTGTCCTATCCAATAAATAGCCACTAACATTTAGGACTTTAAAGAATACAAGCCAGGATTAAGTAATCCCAATAGGTTCAAAATTATTGAATTAGAATCCATAAAATCCCTACAGTGGGGAAACAGGCCAATCAGCCCAACAAGTCCACACCAGTCCTCTGAAGAGCATCCCACCCCCACCCCATCCCTGCAACCCTGCTCTTTCCATGGCTAACCCATCCAGCCTGCACATCCCTGGGCAATTTAGCTTGGCCAATCCACCTAACTTGCACATCTTTGGACTGTGGGAGGAAATCCACGCAGACACAGGGAGAATGTGCAAACTCCACACAGACAGTTGCCCAAGGCTGGAATTGAACCTGGGTCCCTAGCGCTGTGTGGCATCAATGCTAACCACTGAGCCACCATGCTGCCCATATACTTGTCTAGATCAAAATGTTATGCTTTTGCATGTAGTAGAGAAATATATATTGTTTGAAGTGCTGTCTTTCAAGTTACTTTATGTGGAGGTTCTGCTTATTAACCTGGTCTATGAAGCTGTAATAACATTGATTTAGGTTTGTACTGAGGTTAGGTATATGTAGCAAAGAGCTAATTTCTAGTTGAACCAATCATGGAGAAGACTTTGGCTGTGCATTATGTGTTATGAAGTCAAAGGGCTAGTTTACTAATTTACTGCATGTAAATACAAAAATAATTAAAACTGAAACCTACCTCAAAACATTTTAGTATATTAATCCAAGTTTAAATTTTAAAACTGTAAAAATGTACATTTTAATTAAATTACTGGTGCAATAACAGCATATTCATCCGGTGATTGAAATACAATCTTTTATTTTGTTACATTCAGAAGAAACCTTTTGGATTGAAACCACCTGAATAAAGCAGGTGCAAGTCCAGGCAGTAAAACCTGGCTTGGGTTCTATTCTGAAATAAATATTTTGTGGCAGTTGTCACTTTGAAATGATTTTGCTTTTACTGAAATGTAGTGAATAGGCATATAAAGAGTTGGATTAAACTGTTGTTTGTTTTATTTCAGGTAGACGATTTAACAGGAATTGCAGGTAATTAATTAATTTAAATATTTGTGCTGTAAAATTTTCACAGCAGTGACGAGAATATGTAAGTCACTGCCTCATGGAAATTATTGAAGAAAAAGCCATTGACTTCATGCATAAATGCAGGAGAAGGAAATAGAATGTGTATGTGTGTCTGTCTGCCTGTCAGTCAGGGTAAGGAGGGAAAGGACAGGCAACATGGGAAGGATATCAATGTGCAGTATAAATATTTGGCAACACCTGTCGGACCAAATATCTTGTTTCTGTTCTGCATGTTCAAATTATTCAACTGAAATAAATTAGAATAAATTAGACTCATAGAATGGTCGCAACACAGAAAAGGTACTTGGCTTATTGAGCTTGTGCGATATTTCTACAAAAACAACACCTCAGGGTAACACAGTGTGGAGCTGGAGGAACACAGCAGGCCAGGCAGCATCAGAGGAGCAGGAAAGCTGATGTTTTGGGTCGGGACCCTCCTTCAGAAATGGGGTAGGGAGAAGGGAACACAAATAAATAGAGAGGAGAGGTAGGGCTGGGAAAGGTTGGTAGGATGGTGATAGGTGAGTGCAGGTAGGCAGTGGTGGGGATTGGGCAGTGAGGTGGGAGGAGTAGATAGGTGGGAGAGAAGACGGACAGGTTGTGTCAGGTCAAAGAGGTGGGGATGAGAGGGAGGGTTGGTCATGGGCTGAGGCCGGGGGTGGGGAGATTTTGAAACTAGTAAAGTTCACAATGAGATCATTGGGTCATAGGTTCCCAAGGCGGAGTATGAGGTGCTGCTCCTCCAGTTTCCGGGTGGCATCATTGTGGTACTGGAGGAGGCCCAGGATGTCGTCCAGGGAGTGGGAGGGGGTGTTGAAGTGGTTCGCAACTGGAAGGTGTTGTCGTTTGTTGCGAACAGAGCACAGATGCTCTACGAAGTGGTCTCCAAGTCTCCGCTTGGTCTCACCAATGTAGAAGAGGCCACCAGTGCCACAATGACTCCACCAGAAACTGGAGGAGCAGCACCTCTCATTCTGCCTTGGCAGCCTACAACCCAATGATCTCAACGTGGACTTTACTAGTTTCAAAATCTCCCCACCCCCTGGCCTCATCCCATGATCAACCCTTCCTCTCATCCCCACCTCCTTGACCTGTCACAACCTGTCTGTCTTCTCTCCCACCTATCCGCTCTTCCCACCTCACTGACCAATCCCCACCACCATCTACCTGCACTCACCTATCACCTATCACCATCCCCACCCCATCCCTCTTCTTTATTTATTTCAGAGCTCCTTTCCCCCTCCCCCATTTCTAAAGACGAGTCCGGACCTGAAACGTCAGCTTTCCTGCCCCCCTGATGCTGTGTAGCCTGCTGTGTTCCTCCAGCTCCACACTGTGTTATCTCTGACTCCAGCATCCTAGTACCTCAGGGTATCCTCATTAGCTCTGCAAAATTAAAATGCAACTTTCTTGAGCCTTAATGTAACGTATCCTACTGTTAGATGAAAATTGTCAGTTGCACAAAAACAGAACATTCTTCAAAATATAGGGCCATTCGTTTTTGTGGAAAATTCACCAGGTATGTCCTGTACACAAACAGTAGGACAAATCCAACCCAGCCAATTACTGCTCCATCAGTCTACTCTCGATACTTCTCCGATTCAGTTTTGTTTAATTTTCTAATTCACTTTATCAGTGCTACTTACTGTCTTGTACCTCTCTCTTTATAAGATTATCCATCATCTTTTTGTTTGAAGCTGGAAGACCCATATTTCTTTCCTCCTTTCAAATTTTCCTTAAATTTTATTTATTCTCTCAAATAGGGAAAAAGAGAACTTCACATTTATATAGCATGTTTCATGATGTAAGCATATTTTAAAGCAGCTTGCAAACAATGACTTTTTTGGAGCGTTGTCTTAGGCAAATACACACTGCATGGTCTCACAAGCTTCAAAAAATCACTGACCATATCGTTTCTTTGTATTTTGTTTGAAGAATAAATATTTAGTAGGGCATTAGGAGAATACTTCTGATAGAATAGTTCACCTGAGGGTGCTGTCAGGGTCTCTTTAATGTAGTCAGACCAACATTGTCTCCAGTATTGATACAGTGTGGAGCTAGAGGAACACTGCAGGTCAGGCAGCATCAGAGGAGCAGGAAAGTTGACTTTTTGGGTTGGGACCCTTCTTCAGGACTGAGTAGGGGGAAGGGAGCTCAAATAAATAGAGGGAGGGGTGTGGGGCTCTGTCAAGGTAGGTGGGGTGGTGATAGGTGATAGGTGGAGGGGGTTGTAGAGATTGGCCAGTGGGAAGGTTGTAGCAGATAGACGAGAAGAAAGATGGACAGGTTGTGTCAGATCAAGAAGGCAGGGATGAGAGGGAGGCCTAGACATGGAATGAGGCTAGGGGTAGGAACGTTTTGAAGCTAGTGAATTCTCTGTTGAGGCCATTGGACCGTAAGCTCCTGAAGCAGAATATAAGGTGGTGTTCCTCCAATTTTCTTGTGGCCTCATTGTGACTTTGGATGAGGCCCAGGATGGACATGTTGCCCAGGGAGTGGGAAGGGAAGTTCAAAAGGCTGGCAAGCGGAAGGTGGTGTTGATTGGAGCATACAGAGCTTCGATGCTCCGCGAATCTGTCAGTAAGACTGCACTTGGCCTCTCAATGTAGGGGAGACCACATCAGAGCTAAAGATACGGTAGACCCGGTTAGAAAATGTGCAGGTGAATCCCCGTCGGATACGGGATGATTGTTTTGGGTCTTGGACAAAGGTGAGAGGGGAGGTGTAGCAGCAGCTGTAGCACTTCCTGCCGTTGCAGGGAAAGATGCCAGGTGGTGTTGTTTGTGGAGCAGACAAGGGAGTCACGGATAGAGTAGTCCCTACGGAAAGCAGATAGGGGTGAGGAGCAGAATATCTCTTTGGTAGTGTCTGATTGAAAGTGGCAGAGGATGATGTTTTGGATTAACCCTTCCCATTGACCAATCTGCACAACCCCCGACCTGCATCCACCTATCAAAGCCCCACCTCCCCATTTATTTCTGAGCTTCCTTCCCCCTCCCCAGTCCTGATGAAGGGTCACGACCCAAAACGTCAATTTTCCTGCCCTCTGCTGCCTGACTTGTGTTCCTCCAGCTCCACACTGTATCGACTCTGATTTCCAGCATCTGCAGTTCTTGCTAACTTCCATCACTTCCAGTGTAATACTTTGTGAGCATGGCACTGTAAACTGTATCGGCCTACTTTTGTAGTCTGCTCTGGAATGGCACTTATACCTGCTATTTCAGGCCTGAAAACAAAAGTGCTACCACTGAACTATTGCTATCATTTAAGCTTCCTGACGCTAAGTATTAGCATTGATTATTTAAACCACATAGTCCTGCCTTTTTTTATGCAGACCGGAACTGAGCAAATTAGGTAGGGTGTGGTCGAAACTGGATCATGTTTTGTTTCCCATTTTTGAAATGACACTGGAAAGGTTTCATTTATTGCTTGTCCCATATGGGTCTGAGCAGACAATTGTGGTTTGCCACCTTAAACCAGTTGATTTGAAAAATGAATGGCTCTTTGCTTTGTTGATTACTGTTCTGCTTAGATTGCATTTGTTCAATGTTGAACTTTGTTTTTAGTTGTTTCAACATTATTCATAAAGTACACATCTCATTGACTTTTTTCTCTTCCTGTGTTTGTATTTTTCATTCATATGAAATTATATATTTGTGGCATAAGAAATGTTTGGACAGGTGTTGCAATATAGTATGATTAGATTTCACACTTTTGGTTTTTGGTAGACAGATCTATCGTTATCCATTAATTTGATTGAATTTTATAATGTTTTAAATATAAATGAAGTTAGAAGTTAGAAGTTTTTTAGCCTAAAATGTATTTTATGTATATCTAAGTGTAAGTTAGTATACATTCATTATATAATCATGAAAGCTTGCATCATGTGATGCTACACTTAGTATGCGTAATACGGAAATTATGTAAGTTCATCTTTGAGTTATTATCTTGTAGCTATTAATGAGGTGGATTTTTATTTTTCCCTCAGGAGGCCCCAGTTGGGCAAATGTAGCTTCCCAAGCACCACAAAGGTTTGGGATTGACAGAATGCAGCCTTTTTCTTGTGGTCGAGGTGGCAGGCCAGTGGACCTGCGAAACTCTCAGGTATGTGTGTAAACTTGCTACCATCATTCAGAATTTGGACCATTCATGGTTATAAATTGCTTTAAGATAGAAACTTTCTTCCCTTTCAGTTAGTGAATCTATTCTATTTCTGTACAAATTGGGGCCTTAATTGGCCAGACTTTTCAGTGAATGAACATCAGTAAAATGCTGAGTAAAATTAATAGTCTGATTTAATGACCTCACCATCAATAATTTAATTCGTAATTGTTGTATTGGAAACATCACAGCTGATGACTAATATTGCAACATAACTTGGAAATACTAAGCAGATCGAGCAGCATCTGTAGAAAGAAACAGTTGAAATTTCGTTTTGAGATGATCTTTCATCAGGACTTCAGTCAACGGATCATCCAGTGAAGTTATGTGGGTGAAACTGAGAAATAAAGAAGGGATGATCACCTTATTGTGATTGTATTATAGGCCCCCCCAGTAGTCAGCAGGAAATTGAGAAGTAAGTATGTAAGGATATCTCTGCTATCTGTGAGGATAATAGGGCTGTAATGATAGGGATTTTAACTTTCCAAACATAGACTGGGACTGTCATAGTGTTAAGGGCTTGGATGGAGAGGAATTTAATTTTGTACAAAACTTTCTTATTTAGTATGTGGGTATACCTACTAGAGAGCAAAACTTGACCTTCTGTTGGAAGATAAGGCAGGGCATGTGACTTGAGGTGTCAGTGGGGGAGCACGTTTTGGAATTCGTGATCATAATTCTATTAGTTTTAAAATGTCTATCTATGGAAAAGCATACACCTGATCAGAATCAAAGTTCTAAATTGGAGTGAGGCCAATTTTGGTGGTATTAGACAGGGGCTTTCAAAAGTTGATTTGGGTGAGGCTATTCGCAGGTAAAGGAATGGATGGGAAGTGGGAGGCCTTTAAAAATGAGATAACGAGAGGTCAGAGACAGTATGTTCCTGTTGATGTGAAGGGCAAGGCTGGTAGGTATAGGGAATGCTGAATGACTAGAGAAATTGAGGCTGTGGTCAAGAAAAAGTAGGACCATATATCAAGTATAGATGTCTAGGATCAAGTGAATCCCTAGAGGAATACAAGGGCAGTAGGAGTATACTGAAGGGAAATCAGGAGGGCAGAAAGGGGACATGAGATAGCTTTGACAGTTAGGGTTAAAGAGAATCCATTCAAAGGGATTCTCCAAGTACATTAAGGGCAAAAGAGTAACTTGGGAGCGAATAGGGCCCCTTTAAAGATTGACATGGCTGTCTGTGTGGAACCATAGGAGATGTGAGATACTAAACAAATATTTTGCGTCAGTATTTCCTGTAGAGAAAGATATGGAAGCCAAGTTGCTTGAGGAAATAAATTGCGACGTCTTGAAAAGAGCTCATATTACAGAAGAGGAGGTACTGGAGGTCTTAAAATGCATAAAGGTGGATAAATCCTCGGGACCTTATGTGTTTCTCAGAACTTTGGGCGAAGCTAGGAAAGTGATTGCTGGGCCATTTGCTGGGATACTTCAATTATCAACAGCCTTGGATGAGGTGCCAGAAGACTCTGGAGTGGCTGAAGTTGTGCCATTATTTAGGAAAGGCCGTAAGGAAAAGCAAAGGAACTATAGACCGGTGAGCAAGTTGTTGGAGGGGATTCTGCGGGACTGGATTTGCATGCATTTGGAAAGGCATGGACTGATCAGGGATAGTCAAAATGGTTTTGTGCATGGGAAATTGTGTCTTACCACCTTGCATTTTTTTTTTTTGAAGAGGTGACAAAGAAGGTTGGCTGAAGGCAGAATAGTAGATGTTGTCTATTTAGATTTCAGCAGTGACAAAGTTTCCCATGGTAGACCGATTAGAAAGGTTAGATTATGTCGGTTCTGGGGGAGATGGCCAATTGGATACAAAATTGGCTTGAAGGTAGGAGACAGCGGGCGATGGTAGAGGGTTGCTTTTCAAACTGGAGGCCTGTGGCCAGAGGAGTGCCGCAAGGGTCAGTGCTGGGCCTATTGCTTTTTGTCATTTATATAAATGATTTGGATGTGAATATAGGCGGTATATGGTTAATAGGTTTGCAGGCGACACCAAAATAGGTGGTGTAGTGGACGGTGAAGAAGATTATATCAGAATACAATGGGACCTTGATCAGATGGGCCAGGGCATGACAGATGGAGTTTAATTTAGATAAATGTGGTGCTGCATTTTGGTAAGGTGACCCAGGGCAGAATTTGTACAGTTAATTGCAGGGCCCTGGACAGTACTGCTAAACAAAGAGACCATAGGGTGCAGGTGCATAGTTCCTTGAAAGCGGAATCACAGGTACAGAGGGTGGTGAAGAAGGCATTGGCACATTTGCTTTCATTGGTCAGAGTACAGGAGTTGATACGTCATGCTGTGGGTGTACAGGACATTGCTGAGGCCACTTTTAGAATACTGTGTAAGATTCTGGTCGCCCTTCTATAGGAAGGATGTTGATGAGCCTGGAGAGTTTGAATTATAGCGAGTGGCTGAATAGGCTGGGGCTTTCTTCCCTGGAACATTGGAGGCTGAGGTGTGACCTTGTAGAGGTTTATAAAATTATGTTGGGACTGGATAGGGTGAATATCCAAGGTCTTTTTCCTAGAGAGGGGGAGTCCAAATCTAGAGGGCATAGGTTTAAGGTGAGAAGGGAAAGATTTAAAAAGGATCTGAGTCTAGAATCCCTGCAGTTTGGAAGCAGGTCATTTGGCTCATCGAGTCCACACTGACCCTCTGAAGAGCATCCCACCCAGACTGACCCCCTACCATATCCCTGTAACCTTGCATTTCCTACAGCTAATCCACGGAACCTGCACCTTCCTGGACACTACAGGCAATTTAGTGTGGCCAATCTGCTTAACCTGCACAGCTTCAGACTGTGGGAGGAAACCAGCGCACCCTGAGGAAACCCATACACACAGGCAGTGGAGTCTTGCCCAAGAGTGGAATCAAATCTGGGTCTCTGGCACTGAGGAAGCAGTGCTAACCACTGAGCTACTGTGCCATGTGGCATAACTTTTTCACACAGAGGATGTATGGAACAAGCTGCCAAAGGGTGGTGCCTGTATGAAATGAGCTGCCTGACGAAGTGGTGGAAGTGGGTACAGTTACAATATTTTAAAAGGCATTTGGATGAATATATAAGTAGGAAGAGTTAAGAGGAATATGGCCCAAGTGCTGGCAAATTGGACTAGGTCAGATTGGGATGTCTGATCGAGGTGGGCTGAAGGGTCTGTTTCCGTGCTGTATGACTCTGACTGACTGTATTCCTGATGTAAGGTCATCTCGACCTGAAACATGAACATTTTCTGAATCCACAGATTCAGCCTGACCTGAGAATTTCCAGCGTCTCTGTTCAATTTCATATATCTGGCATCCCCAATATTCTGCTTTTGATGACTAATATCCTAGCACTTCAGTCTGTACCTATACTAACTCATCCCAATCTATCGTGAAACTCCAACCAAGTCAAGGTGTTCCCACTTCTCCCTTTTGATCTCCATTTTGAACCATATTAAAAGAAATTTAAACACATGTAGTCAAAAGTTTGAAGCAGTAAACTAGAAATTAAATGCTGAGACTAGAAAAAGTTGTTGTCATTACATTGTGCTACATTATTTTGTTTCATAAATTCCAACTTGGAGATTAACTGCCATGTGAACACCTTTTAGACTCAATGGAAATGGCCATTAATTAGATAACTTAACGATCATCATTTATTTGTTAACGTAGGTAATATCTGATTTACTTTCTGTACAGCAAGTCATTGGCTACTCCAAACAACGCACAGGTTTTTTAATGAAAATATTAAAAACCATTAATCTTCTATTTGCCTGTGTGCCTTTTACAGGTTTGTGATTTTGATACTTCAGCCACAATTTGACTATTTCTGCGAGTATTGTAAAGTTATACTTTAATTTATCAAGAGATCAACTTCAAAAGTATCTTTGTACACCTTATTGCGGAAGATGATAACCACACAGTCAGCAAAACTTCAAGCAACTTACGACAGTTGAGAAAGTGCAAATGACAGTTATTGATTTCTTAAGACTTTAAGTAAATAGTTCTCTATTTTCTTTCTCACTTTTTGGAGGAAACAATTCTCTGCATGTCAGCAGTCTTGGTACTTGATATCCAAATCCAAGTAGCAGAGGCAAAAACACAAAATCCATTAAGAAAATAACAGTAGTATTTTAATAGGGATGAAGCTTTGAAAATGAAGTGCAATTCAGTTTGATGATGGTAATAATAAAGGTGTACTGTTATTCCAAAAAATTTGGTGTGGAACATAATGGTACAAATTACACCAATTTGAAGAAAAATGTGCACTTGAACAATGGCAGACTATAAATACAGTGTTACTATGATGCATTTTCTTTCACGTGGCTCTGTTGATGCGCAGGATAACTCCAGAGGAAAGGTGCAAAGTTTGTCTTCTCAAAGAACGCCAAACCATCAAAAGAATCGAGATTGGACTGCTGGACAGTCGTCTGAAGTGCCACAGTTTGTCAGTGGGCATATGGCTGGAACTGATCAAAAACCTGATTCTTTATGTTTTGAGGTATTGAAGGTTTAATTTAGTCACACTGTAAAAAGTGTAATCATGTTACTTGCATCTTAGGTTGTTGCTATCTGATGCCTCATTTGAGTTGATGCTGCATGAGATCTGGTTTTGTGCTTTGCAGATCAGGAAGCTATTAAGTCAAATATTTTGCTTATGCCAAGTTGGTTCATAAAAGGTGTTGAATAAAAGCCATCAACACTCCTCAATTGATATGAAGAAACGGACCAACTCCTACTTCCTTTTTTTTCACATATTCTATGCTCATGTATCATTGAAACCAAAGAATCACTATGGGATGATTATTTTAAACTCCCATCTTCAAAATCTTGTCTTCTGTTTTTCACAAGTAGTATCATTTGATTTACTGTGAAGGTTTCATATGATACAGTAACACAGGATAAACCAATTCCTGTCAAAATAGCACCCATTGTATTAATAGCTGATCACTGTTGTTTACCAGTAACCTGTAAATAGTTGCGTAAAAAATTGAAAGTGTCTTTATGTTCTTGCATTTGAGCAGTGTATAAATCTCTGTTATATACAGGATGACAGCGAGTTTCCAGAATTGATCATTGGAGCTGGTGTTTCCAAGAGCCAAGTTGTAGCCCACGATAATACTCAGAATAAAAATTCTGCAATTTGTCAACTCTCTAAAAAGCAACTCGGGGTGAGTGTTGTATCCATTTTCATTTATATTAATGCCTTTAGCAGCATGTTAATGTTTAAAGTTCTTTACTAAGACAAAATTTAGTACAGAAAAGTGCATCATTCTGAAAAAGACAACTGAAATGTCATCTGGTTTTACCTTTTCAAATGTTCGCTATTTGAATAAATTATACTTTACAAATTCCTTTTTAAACTATCTGATAACGTTACTGATGAAAATAATGTTTTATGCTTTTTTTTTAAGCTGGGTGATCTTCCAGAAACTTCTCCAATCAACATAGTGCAGACACCTATTCCAATAACTACAGCTATTCCAAAGCGTGCTAAAAGTCAAAGGAAAAAAGCATTGGCTGCAGCCCTTGCTACTGCTCAGGAGTATTCAGAGATTAGCATGGAGCAGAAAAAGCTCCAGGTGAGTATTTCTTGTTTAATTCTTAAAAGATGTTTGTAACTTTCCCTTCTTCCTGTTTTGTGTATTATTTTCAATGACATAAAATCAGAATATTTGAGTTTAATGTGATCAGGTTAAATTATTAGCATGCATATAGTTTTGAGTAATTTTGGCGAATTTGATATCTGCAAGTTTCTTTCATCATTTAATGCATGGTTTGCTACATATAGGGCCATGGGCAGATCAGGAAAGTTTGACTGTTCTGTTCTTAAATGTTAAAGAATAAATGCCTTTCACTTGTCAATGTAATGTCTGCTTATATTCCTTGTTCCTGTCACAAAAAAAGATTCTGGTTCCAAATAATTTTCAAGTCCATGTAATGCTTTTGTGGATATAGTCTATCAGTATCCTATTACAGGACTAAGTTCAAGATGCTATAAATGTTGTGAAATATGATGAAAGGCTATTTTATCTGCTGTAAAGTTAATATATATATCTTAGGAACTGTGGTTGTTTACTTCGAGTACTGTACAACAGCTCTTGCCCTTTGTACCTGGTCTTATGTTGTATATTTTCCCCAGGAGGCTCTGAATAAGGCAGCAGGGAGGAAGAGTAAAGCCCCTGTACAACTAGACCTTGGTGACATGTTAGCTGCACTAGAGAAACAACAACAAGCCATGAAAGCAAAGCAACTGACTAATACAAAACCTCTATCGTACTCTGGTATGGTAAATTTTGCAGCTGTGCTTGTTTAATTTTGCTTTTTCAGGCAATTCTATCCCTGTAATATTTCTGTGTTTGAAGTGGAAAAGCACTTTCACTTCGCATAGGCACAATTTGTGTGCACAAAAGGAAATGCCATACTGGTCCTTTTTAAAAATCAAACTTCTATTTGCTGAGATAACCAGGCGTAGAGCTGGATGAACACAGCAGGCCAAGCAGCATCAGAGGAGCAGAAGGCTGACGTTTCGGGCCTAGATCCTCTATGCTGCACTGCATGTTAGTATGCAGTATTAATTCCTTCTAATGTCTATATATGCTGAATTGTGTGCTTTCTTTGTGCAGTAGAACAGAATTGACTCAGGTGATTTTATATAAGACTATTCCGATTTTTTTGTTTTGATTTGATTTGATTTATTATTGTCACATGTCGTGAGACATCACAGAGTATTGTTTTGCATGCCTTTTTGCCAATTCATAGCTTACATGAGTACATCAGGGTAACAGAACAGAATGCAGAATATAGAGTTACAGCTACAGAGAACGTGCAGAGAAAGATCAATTCTAATATGTGAGAGGTCCGTTCATAAGTCTGATAACAGCGGGGAGGAAGCTGTTCTTGAATCTCTTGGTACATGTTTTCACACTTCTGTATCTTCTGCCCAATGGAGGAGGATGGAAGAGAGTATAATGGGGGTGAGAGAGGTCGTTGATTATGTTGACTGCTTTCCTGAGGCAGCAGTAAGTGCAGACAGAGTCAATGGAAAGAAGGCTGGTTTTTGTGATGGACTGGGCTGTGTTCACAACTCTGTAATTTCTTGTAGTCTTGGGCAGAGCAGTTGCTATATTAAGCTGTGGTGCATTCAGATAGGATGTTTTCTATGGTGCATCTCTAAAAATTGGTAAGAGTCCTTGTAGACATGTGGAATTTCCTTAGCCATCCAAGGAAGTAGAGGCATTGCTGTGCTTTCTTGACGTAACATTGACACGGATAGATCGGGACAGATTGTTCGTGATATTTATTCCAATGAATGTGAATCTCTCAACCACCTCCGCCTCGGCACCATTGATACAGACAGGGACGTGTCCTCCACTCTGCTTCCTGAAGTCGATGAGCAACTCTTTCGTTTTGCTGATATTGAAGAAAAGGTTGTCTTTACACCATGCCACTAAGCTCTCTGTCTTTTTGCTGTGCTGTCTCATCGTGTTGAGATCCAACCCAGTACCGATGGTGTCATCAGCAAATTTGTAAATGGACTTAGAGCTGAATTTGGCCACACAGTCATGAGTGTTAAGGAGTATAGTAAGAGGCTGAGTATACAACCTTACGGGGCACTGGTGTTGAAAATTATGGTGGAGGAGGTGTTGTCACCTATCCTTACTGATTGCAGTCTGTAGGCCAGAAAGCCAAGGATCTAGTTGCAGTGTGGGGAGCAGAGTCCTAGGTGTTAGAGTTTGGAGATGAATTTGGTTGGAATTATGGTGTTGAAGGTGGAGCTAAAGTCAATAAATAGAAGTCTGACATAGGTGTATTTCCAGAGGTGAATGTAGGGCCAGGGAGATGGCATCTACCGTAGACCTATTGTGATGGTAGGTGAGTTGGAGTGAATCAAGGTAATCTGGGAGGCTGGAGTTGATGTGTGCCATTACTAACCCGTCAAAGCCACCAGGTGATAATCATTGAGGTACATTGCCTGATTTTTCTTTGGCACTGGGATGATAATGGTCTTCTTGAAGCAGTCCAGATTAATAGAGCGATAGATTTAAGCTGAGGCCCCTGAGACAAATAGGACCATATGCTAATTGATTGTATCAACAAGCATTCTAAGTTCCACATTTTAAACTCCTGTTTTCTGGATGCCATCACGTTGTTTTTATAGAATTATTCTTCTGACAGTATAGTTGGCTGGCCAATGTAATTTACAGATATTACAAATCAAAATATTTTTGCTTTTCCAGTTGGAACAAGTACACCTCTTTCTATCAAAGACTGTGGGAACATGAAAACTTTACACAAAAATCAGCAGTTTATTGGATTTCATAATCCATTGGATTCTGGTGCCCCAAAGATTAAGAGAGGAAAGGAAAGGGAGATTCCAAAAGCAAAACGTCCAACGGCACTTAAAAAGGTAAAACCTTAATGGAGTAGTTGCTGCATATTAAGAAGAAAATATGTAGTTTTTTTTTGTTTGGTTAGTAGGAGGTAACCATAATCTAAAGCAAATTTTCAGTCTTTCCATGTTGTACCATGTTCTTGAGGATGAAAAGTCATTTTATAAATTCCTGAACAGTTCAGTTCTATCAAAATTTTTAATTAAATTTAGTTGTAGGAAATAAAACATACAGCAAACTCATGTTAACCAGCACCTTATGAACTGGCAAAAATTATATACCTCAAATACCATGAAGCTTACTGTATTATTCTGTCCAATCATTGTTGTTTTTTTCATTTATTTGCTTCAATGTAAATAGACTAGTCAATTGACCGACCATACAGTTGATTTCAATTTTGAGTCATTTTCTGCACAAATATCGCGATCTACCGTGATGTCTGAGTAGTCAGTTGAGGGCGGGAGTTAGCAGGTTCTATGTCGCTAAGTTTTATTATATTTAAGTGATTTATGTCATAAGTGAAGTATAACAGTGATGTAAAAACTCCGTGCGTTACATTTCTGTTACTTAGTGTGTGTCCTTCCACAGTGATTATGTGGACCGCTTGATTAACTGAAATGTTTGATGAACCAGCATCCTCCTGGTCCAATAGGTACCAGTCAATAAAAACTGTTATGTTTTTGAAGAGCAGTTGAAGTGGAAATTTGTTCCATCTCATATACTGACCAACCAAATTCTTGCCTTGAGTGATGTTGGAACCTGAATATTTCTGATTAGTAAATTTTGTTGGGGTGGCTTGTAGTAAATAAGTGACCTATTTTCATGTGTGATTGATTCAAGAAAAAGGTCATTAAAATGCCAGTCTTCAGCTGTGAGCTGTAGCTTCCAGCAAAGCGCTGGCCACATCCCTATCTGCCTAACTAAATGAAGTAGAGAAGGCTACATTTGGTGAGATTTGAAAGATGAATAGCATGAAGATTGTTGTAAGTTGTTTTAGGCTGCCCTGTATAATGCAGTGAATTGATTTTGAGTTGAGGATAATTATAGAAACCTTCAGCTGGCTGAGTGGCTGTTTTACGACAGTGATGCCAACAACGCAGGCTCAATTCCTGTACCAGCTGAGGTCACCATGAAGCTCTCATCTTCTCAAGCTCACCCCTCTCCTGGGGCATGGTAACCCTCAGTTTAAATTTGTCACTAGTCATTCCTCTATATTGAGTATGGTTCACTGGGGCTATTTACCTTTTAAGTTATAGGAACCTAGAAAATAGGAGTAGGAGTAGGCTATTCATCTCATTGAGCCTTCTCTGTTGTTCAATATGATCATGTCAGTTTCCGCTTTATCCCCATACCCATTGATTACTTTAGCCCTAAGACTCTATCTAACTCCTTCTTGAAAACATTCAATATTTTGGCCTCAGCTGCTTTCTGTGGAAGTGTGAATATTTCACAGGCTGGCCACTCTCTGGGTGAAGAATCTTCAGTCCTAAACGGTCAACCTTGATCCTTAGATTGTGGCCCATGGTTCTGCCCTCCACAGACATTGGGGCGTCATTCCAATGTTTAACCTAACTAGTCCTTGTTTGAATTTTAAAGGTTTTGTAGATCCCCTCATTTTTCTAATCTCTAGTAAATATGCCCTAATCGATCCAGTTCTTGTACATTAATACTGTATCCTAGTTGCTGTTCCAATGGGTACATTAAAGCTTTTCCTCTTCATGATAGATTATCCTGAAGGAAAGAGAAGAAAAGAAAAACAGATTTTCAATAGAATCAACAATTGTAGGAACAGAGGAACAGGGTGATGAACAGCTGAATTTTTCGGAGGAGCAGTCTATAACCCAGGAAGTGGTTTCTCAGGAAGGTAAATTTTCTTTGCGGAAGGGGATTTTCTGTGCAACAGCATTTGGACAATTTTATCATTCCAGTTTATGAATGAAATTGCCATGTTTCTGCATGCTGACGTGACCACTATTTGAACACCTTACACAAATGTTCGTGCGTGACTGACTATTTGACTAGCTTTCTTAAAAATGAAACTGGACTGAGCTGCATAATGGCAGCTGTCAATGAAGCATCATTGTTTTCTAAGCAATTAGAAATGAGGTGGTTAAGTACTGTTTTTATTGCAAAAGTCCTCAAAACAAACCCCTCCTGTTGTCAGCTATATACAATGAAATACAATGAACATATACAATGAAAACCTTATTTGGAAGTGGTGCTGGACTTCATTAAATAATACATTATTGGTGAATGCCTTCGACAAGATCAGTGTGGGAGGCAGGCGTATTTTGTTCTAACTTCTCCCATGCCATTAAAATTATGGGTTTTCTAAAGTTTTGAGATGGTATGGTGTTGGGTTTTAATTGAGGGCAAACGTAAGGATTTCTGGTTCAAAATGAACAGCATATTTATCCATCTAGTCTTAAAAGCTAGACATACTGTTTTTTGATCTTAAGCAGTTCACATTACTGTCCCTGTTTTTCGCTCCCATAATAAAATTAGCTTAATTCGCACTTTCTTTGTCACGCACCATGCATCACTGCAATATACAACCGTACCCAAAAGTCACATTTCCCCTAGCGAAGCTCTGTTCTTGTTTTCCTTAAACAGAAAAGTACTAGGGTGAGACTGGTCTGCAGTAAGTTAGCTAGTATCAAATGGGACACACAGGAGCACTACAGTTGATGCCAACCTTTTAAGTTAGAGGGAAAGAACTGATCAGTGTTCAGTTGGCATCCAGCTGAATATGTTTGTCCATAGACCTAGGCAAGGAATAGGGTTCAACTATGGTGCCCCAGACCTTTAAATATGTGATGCTGTCACTCACTTGTTGAATGACTACTAGAGCAAGATGGAGGGAGCCCAAAGACCCTCAGCAAAAACTTGTATTTAGGAATGCAGCAGAACAGTCTTTCCTTGTGCTGTCTGAAGAAGTGATAGACATCTGACTTTGGCTGGCAATCTGAACAAACAAATATACTGCCCAGATTGTGGCTTGAGGCTTAGTAGCCCCTTAACGGCTAATGCTTTTTATCTTTAGGGTGAGGGGCCTAACAAACTACATGTGAATTAGCTTAAGCTGCAGGTAGCTTTTTTTAGTCTGATGTACTAAAAAGAAAAACAAATTTGCAATCAATTAGTAAGGTCTAGATAGTTAAGCTTGCTTAGGCACTTTATATAGCCTTCAGAAATGCCATGCTTAGTTCCACAAGTTCAGAGTATGACCTCTGCTCTATTATTGTAGCAGTTCGTCCACAGCTGTGTCAGGTTTGTGACTTTTCTTGGCAGAGCAGACCCATTTTCTCCCTTTCATCACTAACATTTAGAGTTATTTTACATATCCATCTTGTCTTTACCATCATTATCACTATCTTTGTCTTTTGCTCCAGGTGCTCCCTCAATCTGTTCACTTTGTCCTCCTCTCCCACTGTCTGCAGCATTAATACCAAAGTTTTCAGCTGCTTTCAATTCCAAAGAAGAATAATATATAAGAATAATCATTCAAAAAAATAATCTGCCTTCCTATTTTGCTGCCAAAGTGGATAACCTCGCATTTATCCATATTATACTGGATCTGCCATGCATTTGTCCAATCACTTGGCCTGTCCAAATCGCACTGCAACATTTCTGCATCCTCCTCACAGCTCCTTTCCACCCATCTTTGTATCATTTGCAAATTGAGGTATTATATTTAATTCCCTGTAAATCATTAACATAAATTGTGAATAGCTGAGGTCTTAATTCAGAACCTTGTCATACCCCACTAGTCATTGCCTGTAATTCAGATGAAGACCCATTTATTCCTATCCTTTGTTTCTTGTCTGCTAACCAATTTTCTGTCCATCTCATGTGCTTTAATTTTATACATTAATCTCTTAAGTGGGATTTTGTCAAATGTCAAAAATCCAAATCAGCCGCATCTGCTGGCCCCCACTGATCAACTCTACTAGTTTCATCCTTGAAGAATTCCAGTATAGAGTCATAGAGCTGTACAGCATGGAAACAGACCCTTTGGTCCAACTTGTCCATGCAGACCAGATATCCTAAATTAGTCTAGTCCCATTTGCCAGCATTTGGCTCATATCCCTCTAAACCTTCTTATTCATATACCCATCCAGATGCCTTTAAAATGTTGTGATTGTACCAGCCTCTACCACTTCCTCTGGCAGCTCATTCCATACACGCACCACCTTTTGCATGAAAAAGCTGTCCCGTAGGTCCCTTTTTAAATCTTTCCCCTCTCGCTTTAAATCTACATCCTCTAGTTTTGGACTCCCCCACTCTGGGGAGAAGACCTTGGCTATTCACCCTATCCATGCCCTTCATGATTTTACAAACCTCTATAAAATCCCCTCTCCGCCTCCACTCCAGGGAAAATTGCCCCAGCCTATTCAGCCTCTACCTATAGCTCAAACCCTCCAACCCTGGCAACATCCTTGTAAACCTTTTCTGAACCCTTTCAAATTTCACAGCATCCTACCTATAGCAGGAGACCAGAACTGCACACAGTATTCAAAGTGACCTAACTGATGTCCTGTACAGCTGTAACATGACCCCCCAACTCCTATACTCAATGCACTGACCAATAAAGGCAAGCATACCAAATGCCTTCTTCACTATCCTATCTACCCGAGAGTCCACTTTCAAGGAACGATGAACCTACACTCCAATGTCTCTTTGTACAGCAACACTCCCCAGGACTTTACCATTAAGTGTATAAGTCCTGCCCTGATTTACCTTTCCAAAATGTAGCACCTCACATATATCTAAATTAAACTCCATCTGCCAATCCTCAGCCCATTGGCCCATCTGATTGAGGTAATCTTTTTTGCTGTCCACTACACTTCCAATTTTGGTGCCATCTGCAAACTTACTAACCATACCTCCTATGTTCACATCCAAATCATTTATATAAATGACAAAAAGCAGTGGACCCAGCTCTAATGTTTTGCGGCACACCACTGGTCACAGGCCTCCAGACTGAAAAGCGACCCTCCACCACTACCCCCTGTTGTCTTTCTTGAGCCAGTTCTATGTCCACATGCCTAGTTCTACCTGTATTTCATGTGATCTAACCTTGCTAACCTGCCTACCATGAGGAATATCGAATGCCTTACTGAAGTCATACAAATCATGTCCACTGCTCTGCCCTCATCAATTCACTTTGTTTCTTCCCAGCTAGCAAGGCACCCTTCCCCAACTGTTTCACTCTAATGCTGACTGTGAGGCTCCTCTGTTCCCAGGCTGTTTCACTCTAACACTGACTGCCAAGGCACACACTTCCCAGAATTAATTCATTTCTAACTGGCTCAAGAAGTCCTAGTTATTGTAATAACAAAAGACTTTTTTTGCCTTTTTCCCCCAGACGTTATTGGTTGCTGGTCAAAAATACCAGAAATAAATCTGCTGTCTCCATTTAAAAGTTTAGCTGTGTAGAAGCTCGGTTGGGGGAAATAATAAACCCATGACAAATCTGTCACCACATCCAAAGTAGCAAATTCTATCCTGCTGTGATTTAAGAATTAGGCAAGATTGCAGTTTTTTGACATGTATTAGGGTTACTTCACGACCAGTGTGTGCATTTGCAAGGCAAGCTTCTGTCAAGCATGGTGTCTTAATCTGGCAGTTGAGGAAGGTAGTTGGTTTGGAAATGTGCTGTGCCAAGTTAAATCTTTTTAAGTATTCAGAGCTCTCTTCCTAATTTATAAACTGCTTTGGTACAGGGTTTAGAGATTAAACCAAAGAGAAAGCATGCTTCTTATTCTTTGACAAAAACTTTGCACAATGAAGTTTTAGCCCAACTCATCCTTCAGTCTTCCATTTCACTTCATCCTGCTTGAGCTATTATTTTGAGATTTTATGTTGCATTGCTTATTTTATCGTTTGAGACATCTGCTGACTTCAGAGTTTGATTAACTGATGGTATAATTTTAGAAAAAAGACTGAATGTAATGATGTTAGGAAGGTAACCACCAAAATAACTGTGAATGTGCTTTTAGGTGAATGCTTATTTTGTTCCATCACCTTCCATGCTCAGAGGTGGGATTATATGGAGACTGACTATCTGCAAGTGGTGTTAAAATGAGCAGATGCTAATATCTTTTTGAAGTACTGTGGATTTAATTTTGAAAATAGAGCAAACTAATTTAACTCGTTTTGTAATGATACTATGGCTTTAAGAGGTGTACTTTGTCCTTTAGTTTATGAAGAAAGATGGAGACACGGGTGGAAAACCGTCTGCTCAAATCCAATAAAGTAAACAGCTTGTGAGGCCTTGATATTTTTTTAAAAGTTGGAACAATGGAAGCAGCCTGAATGGGTGGGGTCAAGCTCCCACAGAACCGGGATTTTTAGTTTTAGCTTTCTGTAGTTGCTGGGGTCTTGAATCTGGATGTGGAATCTCTTATTCCTCGCTTTGTTACAGCTTAAAAACTGGGGTTCTGTTCCTGCTGCTAGAATTTCATGTAAGACAATCTATTTTACTGAATTTGCTTTTGCCAAGGATGTGTTTCTGGGATGTTACTACGTGGAACAATTTAATTTTTAGTAATTACTCTATATTATTTTGTTAAGGATTTTGATAGAGTTACAGTTGAGCCAATTTTTTTTTTATTTTGTCCCTATTTTAATTGTGATGTAAAAATAATGTATGTTTTTCTTAGAGTCGAATAGTTTGGACATTCAAATTGCATCTGGATCGCAATGCTTTACACTTAGCCCAGACCCTAACATTTCCTCAGTTTAAAGATATCATCTTAATATATTTTAAGAGTGTTTGGTCTGGTTTATAACAGTTTTCTTAATTTCAGACATTGGATTGAGCGTTCCCAGTGACACATCTCTGTCTCCTGCAAGCCAGAATTCTCCATATAGTATGACGCCAGTTTCACAAGGGTCTCCAGTCAGCTCAGGAGTTGGCAGTCCAATGGCTTCTTCGACAATCACAAAAATTCACAGCAGGCGTTTCAGAGAGTAAGCATTTTAGGAGCATTTATATAAAGCTGCCACTTCCTCAATTGAACCTCTGTGACAACTTGATTACAGGAATAATTAAATGCAGCAGTAGTTCACCAGACTGATCTTTGGGATAGTGAAGTTTTTTTCTACAAGGAGAGAACAGGGAGATGGGGCAAATATCCTCTCACAAGTGGAAGAATGATAGATAGTCTCATTGAAATTCATAACTTTCTTATGTGGTCTGAAAGAGTAGATACAGGATGGTTCCCTTGTTTTGAGTGGGGTAGCAGATGAGGGTTTCATTGTCTGGACCAGGTGACATATCTCAGAATAAGAGATTAGTCATTCTAGTACTGGTGAGGAGGAATTTCTTTGCTGAGGGTGCATAACTCTAGAATTCTCTGTCAAAGAGGAAGCTCCATCATTGAACATGCTCAGGACAGAAATTGATAGATCCCTAGATATGAAAAATATCAAGGGATATGGGATAGAAAGAGGTAAATGGTCTTGATCCAGTTGAATGGCAGAGCAGTTTCAAGGGACCAAATGGTCTACTCCTATGCCTATTTCCTATATGCCTACATTGCTAGAATATCTGTATTGCTGATATTTACCAATTGCCTTTGCATTGGAAATGTGATTCGTACTGCTTCCAGCTATTTCAATTTATCAACGTAAATGGATTTCCATTCTGTCTCATTATGAATAGAAGCACCAGGGTGAGAATTGCTTGCAATTTGTAGTACTATGTAAGTTGGGATGAATGCTATAAAGAAATGTCTGTCTGTTTTGTATCGATGTTTTGGTGATTCTGCTTGATATTGAAGAGTGATGGAGCTGTTCATTAGCGTATGTTATCAGAGTGAAAATTGAACATTTGTTTAAAACTCTAAAACGTAATCATACAAAGTTGAGAAACTGATATAAGCTGAAAATTTATACGATCATCTAAATTATCAATACAGATTAGCTGACCAAATTGGCCTTGGGAAGAGTTCTTAGAAAGATGTTACAATCAATTAGAAATTGTCTTGGAGTCGTACTAGCAAGCTTGAGCTATATGTACGACGACTGAATTGTTCTACATCTGCGCAAGAGGTTAAAGAATTTTCGTACTCCTCCATCCACCACCTTGTATTGAGTGCCAAGTTTTGATATGCTCATGTATAAGGTAGTTTAATAACAGCGAAGAATGGCATTTTGAGAATGTTTTATTTGTGCAAAATTTTAATGCTAAGATTGTATGCATATTAACAAAAATGTCTGATCCTAAGTAAATACCTTTTGCTGATTGTAAACTAAATGAATAGCATTTTCAGTTAAGTGCTGCTGCTTAAATAACTGGAGTGAGGGCTGAGTAAAGAGCCTTTGCTATATTTCTGAATGAGTGAAGATTCTTTGTTTTAACTTCCTCACAGTATTAGAGTAGGAAAGGAAGTATTTTGATTTAACATGCTCTGTTTATTACTAATTTTGTCAATCTATAGTTTGACAAGTTGCCCTTATTTTTGATAAGGAGTAGAATCTTCTAATGGGGTATTTTTGATTCCAGTGCATACTAGTGTGTCAATTAATATTGTTTTGAGTAAATAAGGAGATAACTTCCAAAATAATGGGTAATCAAATCAGTGATTTTTTTCATCAAACAGTGGGATCTGTTATAAAATGGGCACATCTAAAGCCATTTGTTTTCATTCATATGTCTCGCTGAAAGAAGAAGCATAGCACATCAGCCATGTGTAGTAATTAATTAGATCCTACTCATGCAAAAGGTGAGATGTAATGCTTCCAATTTCTTAGAAATAAGCAGTTCAGCATCAGTCGTGAGATCGCCATGAGGCGAAATCTAGCTCTGCACTTAAGATGCAGTAGAATGTAAAGTAGCATTCTGGCAAATGTTTAGATTTTCAGTCGGATCAGCTTTAAAGTTTTGAATTAGAAAGGAACTAATTTTGAAAAGTTTACTGGCATTCCTATATTGAACAGAGCTCATGTATGAATGCAAGGGTAGCACCATACTTTTTCACTGGGTGCATGAATTCTTTATTCTTTGTTCATTCATGGGATGAGGGCGTCGCTGGCTAGGCAGCATTCATTGCCCATCCCTAATTGCCCAGAGGGCAGTTGAGAGTCAGTCACATTGCTGTGGGTCTGGAGTCACATGTAGGCCAGACCAGGTAAGGATGGCAGTTTCCTTCCCTAAAGGACGTTAGTGACCCAGATGGGTTTTTCCTGCCAATCGACAATGGATTAATGGTTATCATTAGATTCTTAATTCCAGATTTTCTTAATTGAATTCAAATTCCACCATCCGCCATGGCAAGATTTGAACCTGGGTTCCCAGAACATTATCTGGGTCTCTGGATTAACAGTCAAGCAATAATACCACTAGGCCATTGCCTCCCCCATATGAATTGACTGGATTGACAATTAATGTTCAGCATTGTTTTGTTAATGAGTATTTAACAAATGGAAATGATAATTTGAGAATATTTAGACTGGAAAAGTTTCCCTTTTCAAATACTTTGCGCAGTGTTTGCTTAATAGAAGTGATTAAATAGATTTTTCTGTTTTGTTGGAAACATTTCCATGGCAAATATGGTAGAATGGAATAAATATTTTAAAACTTTATTTCATCAAGAAATAGTTTTTCAATTGATTTATGTTGGAGAGCATAATTTGGCAGCATAGCTAAGTTAACAACCAATTTCAAAGAATGTGTATTGATACAGATTCCTAGATGTTCAGTTGTTTGTGTATGCCAACAAATTGAAATATCTCATTTCATTCAGCAATGCTAAAGTTATAATTGTAGGTGATTTAAAACAACCCCCATCTTCCTTAATGTAAATATATTAGCACTCCTGACACCTTATTTCCCAACTGTTTTTTAAATTTGTTTTCGTTTTAATTCTTTCCCCATGCTAGATACTGCAACCAAGTACTTAGTAAAGACATCGATGAATGTGTGACTTTGTTGTTGCAAGAACTTGTCCGTTTTCAAGAACGAATTTACCAGAAAGATCCTATCAAAGCCAAAATGAAGAGAAGGCTTGTTATGGGTTTACGTGAAGTGACAAAACATATGAAACTAAAAAAAATTAAATGTGTGATCATCTCTCCAAACTGTGAGAAAATTCAGTCAAAAGGTACAGTAACCAATACCTACTTGCAAGCATGAAGTGCTGAAAGATACATTATCTCATTAATCCTTATTGTTTTGCTCTTCCCTCAGGTGGACTGGATGAAGCTTTGTACAATGTGATTGCCATGGCTCGGGAGCAAGAAATTCCTTTTGTTTTTGCTCTTGGGCGTAAAGCTCTTGGTCGATGTGTGAATAAACTTGTTCCTGTAAGTGTTGTGGGGATCTTCAACTACAGTGGTGCTGAGGTATGTTTTTGGATTTTCAGTTGTGCCACTTATTTTGACATGAGCACAGAAGCTATGCAGTGAAATTCATTTCTGATGATTGACTTCGCTTGTCACTTGATAGCTGCTTACAGTTAATTGCTATGCATGGATGTTTTGCTAATCAGACAGTCAAAGAGAACATAGGAAGAAGTAGTAGAATGCTACAGAAACTAAATACAAGATAAACATATTAGCCATTAATTTAAAGATATTTTCTATAGTATTCATGTCTAACGAGTTGTCCAGCAAGCTGTCTGTGTTAAAATTCATTTCTTCACCTGTAATGTCTGGGTTCAGACTGATCAACCTGATAGTCAAAATTTGTGTCAAAATCTAATAAAAACTTTTTATTAGAAAATCAGGTTGAATAGATATTGACTGTGGGATTTTCATGTTTTTGGTATCTTAATACCCTTTAATATCCTTTGTGTTAGTGAAGGCTAGGTTGAGTTGTGCCAGGCGTTTTGTCAGTAGGGAATACTGTGCCAGGTATTATGTGCTGTGTACAGGCTAAATTAGTGTGTAGTAGGACTTCTGCCCCTCAGAGATAGAAAATGCTACTGTCTAGAGATCCTGGCCAATCAGGTTGTCGGGCAGTCCTAGTAGCACTGGCGGTGGGTAGTGGACACTGCTGGGACTGTACACAGAGCCAGAATGCAGCCTCCAATGGAGTCCAGACTTAGATATTTCAAGAGCATGGATGAAGAGCATTTGGCCATCTGAAGGGGATGAGTTTTCAAATCAGTATGGGGATGAAGGAACTGGGAGGTACTATCTTCAGTGTGGGTGCCTCTGGTATACAAAAGACAGTTCCCCACCGCATGAATGTAATACCTTACTTCCTTCATGCAGTTTGACAATTTATTTAATAAAAAAAAAATGGGCTGCCCGCGAGCACCTTATGCCAAACATATTATGGCAAGGGATAGTAGGAACTGCAGATGCTGGAGAATCCGAGACAACAA